TTATCCAAACACCTGCAAGCTAAATATTGCCCAGCCTCTGCAGCGGGACGAAGACGCTCAAGCACTAGGCCTGGAAGAGCAGCAGTGTTCATCTGTCCCAACCCTTTTCTTCCACAAGGTAGCGGAGGACGGGCAGGGCGTGGGACGGCCTGTCCAGGGTGACCAGCCACCGCAGGCTCAGGCGCAGAATCCAGGGTTGCCAAGAACTGGTCTGGCATTCCTGATCCCCACCTCGCCACCTGGCCTCACCTATCTTTTCCTCCCAATGCGTTCTAAAGGCCTCCTGCCCTTGGCCCTCTCCGTCCCTAACAACTCTCCTTCAGATGGGAAAAAGTCCAGGCAGGCAGAGCTTCCCGGGACAGCTTTGGGGACATAACACAGAGCCCTGCTGCAGCTTTCCCCACCCTTCCTGGGGGGCAAAAGGTCACATGTGAACTTGCTGCCCTCTCTGGGCACTTGCCAGCAGTAAGCAGGCTTCCCCTTCTGAGCTCACCCACACCATTACGGACTTGGTGACGGCGGGAGGAGGGCAGTGGGTGAGCCTCAGGCCACTCGCCTCAGTCCTGGCAGGGCACAGCCTCCCCAGAGCCTGGGGTGAGCATCCTGACCAGAGCCCGGCCGGCCTAGGACAGCAGCTTTGGCTTCCATAATTCATGTTGCTGAAAAAAAATGGCTCAACAGTAATTTGGGTTTGTTTACTGCTGAGGAGTTCAAAGTCCTCTGCAGACTTCTGAAATCCAGATGGGTCAGGTGGCTCACAGCTGGAGCACAGAAAGTGGTGACTTGCCTGAAGCCATTAAGCAAGGTGGTGACAAAGTCAGGGGGAAAAAATGTCCAATTCCCTTCTTATTCTGGTTGTTGATCTCCTAGTCAGCTCATGTTTTTCTTTTCAGTCAAGACCGAGACAGCAGTTACAACACTAGCCCAGGTTTCATCCCAAGAGGGGCAATGCAGAGGGAGGGGTCGCCAGAAGCTCCAAGCCTGCAAAGCAGTGAGCCTGAGCTCTGTCCCAGTGCGGCATGACCTTGAGCAGGTAACTTAACATCTCTGAGCCCAGGTTTCCTAGGCCTTACAAAGTACAAAGAAAGCCTGCTTTCTCTAAGTGCAGCTCATCTGCATACCAGGGAACTAGATAGAAATGCAGACCTGCAGGATCAGAATCTGCCTTGCATGGAGATCCCCTTGTGATTCTAAACACATTTACATTTGAGAAGCCCAGCTTTGTATAAAGCATGTATTATTACAGCCCCACATATCGTCAGCTCTCAATAATAAATGTTAAGTGCAATTAGCCCTTGAAAGAGCCTAAGACACAGGCCAAGGCTCCCATGAGGAAACAGACTCAGAAAAGCTGATTAACTTGCCCCAGGTCACACAGTGGTATCAGGATTCAAACCCAAGACTTGTGGCTCTTCTGTACCACAAGGCTTCCTTCCATTTAAGACCTGACTCTCCACAAGGCACAATGCTAACTCAGATGTTCTAAGAATCAAAACCTTCATGTTATTTTAAAATAATATCCTAGTCACTATGCACCCCTCCTGTCAGTGGCTTAAACCCTATGGAAGCGGTTCTCAATCTGTGGGTCACGATCACTTTGGGGGTCGAACGACCCTTTCACAGGGGTCGCCTAAGACATAACAGAAGCAAAATTACAGTTATGAAGTAGCAACAAAAATAATTTTATGGTTGGGGGTCACCACTACATGAGGAATTGTATTAAAGGGCCGTGGCCTTAGGAAGGTTGAGAACCACTGCCCTATGGGCTTCTGGGTGGCTGTCTGCTGCCAGCTGCTGCCTTAGATGAAATTTTTAAGGTGAAAGGAAACCTTAAAACACACCTTACAAATTTACACTCACTTTCACCCATTAACACCTTCCTTATGTGCAGCCCAAGCAGAGAAACATGACAGGGCGTCAAGCTAGGAGGCATCTTTTTGACTCCCCACCTCTGACATCTAGCCTAAAAGCAAACCCCAGTGTGCTGGCTTCCCACGGTGGCAATCCCACATTAGGCCCATGGTCCGGGGTTCCCTAGAAATTACAATGGAAAGGCCAAGTAGCAGAGAAAATGGGGGACCCAAACAAAGAGGCTAAACTGGGTCTGTGAAAGAATCTACACATGGGACGGCTGCAAGGATTAAATGTGATAAATGTCAAACATCCAGCCCAGAGCACAGAGATTGTGTCATCATTCCATGGACACATCTGTGCCAGGCTGGGCATACAAAATTTCCTCTGTGTCGTATTTCAAAGTTTGGAAGTCCAAGCAGTAATTGTGATTGGTTTTACAAGGGTCCAGGTGGAAGTAACAAAAAACAAAGGGTTTCAAGATTTCAGATTGGGTAATTCTGATTGTATATACGCATAAAAACCCTATACATGAAATCTCAAGTTCATAAAGAAAGACGGATTTCAGATATACTACGGCAATGAGTTCCAAATTTCCATTTGTATATGAATCATCTAGGGATCTTGTTAAAATGCAGATTTAGATTTAAGTAATCTAGACTGGAATCCGAGTTTGCATTTCTAAGAGCTCCCATGAAGGTCAAAGAACCCACACTTTTGAGCAGCAAGGTTTAAACAGCAAGAAACAAATCCAAGGCGAGCATAATTTAATTTAAGAAAGACATGCCAGGAGAACAGCCATGAAGGAGTGTATGGAACCAGTCAGGCTAGCAGGGTTTCTAAAGGGAGGCACACCAGGAAAGCAAATGGCATTCTTTAAGCTGGCCCTGGGCCTTTTTCAAATGAGTCTGTAATCTAGATCACTTTGTCTAGGCAGGTTAAAGTACTCTTTAGTGATCATAAAAGCAACATGCTTCTGACAAGAATTCTATTTTTTTTTTTTTGGTACGTGCCCCTAGGAAGAACCGAACAGGGGACTCTGGTCCGCAGGCCAACGCTTCAACCGCTGAGCCAAACCGGCCAGGGGACAAAATTCTTAAAAGCAGCACAGTATAGGGAACAAAACATCCTAGGATGTTTCCACTCCAACAGCTAGTGGCCAAGCTCGCTCTTCAAGGACTTGCTTAAATCAAGTTGTACCAATTTACCTCTTGTCTGTACATTAAATGTGATGTTGTTTCTGTGGACAGCTGCAATTTTTTAATGCTTATCAAGTTGTCAGTTACAGAAAATTCCAAAGTACTAAGATGAATATGATTGTCAGGTAAGGAAGTACCTTATACTGAGTAACCCACTTTAATATGTCTGTTGTGGGGAAAGATTAAACGTACAAGGGCTTCATATCGATAGGATCAGAGATTAAATTCAAACTATTCTTTGGATCAGAAGTACTAACATACAAGAGCCTCCATAACCTCTTAAAGGAGATTCGTGAAGACAAAGTGTGAGGTAATCTGATCTCCAGCTGCTCTTCACATGAGAACACATCTGTCTACCAGGAGACACAGGCCAGCCTTGCACACTGGCTTGGAATAACATGTATGTTGATTACAATTCCTGTCATGACCTCTGGACTAGCTGAGTTTGTGCTCAAACTATAGACATTATGAACCAGTGAGTGATGTCAGACGGTAATACAGAGCTGCCCAGAAACTGCTGAGTGCGCACCACTCACCCAGAACGGAAGGGATCTCCCTCCAGTGCACTCACCCGCTAATGGGGAGATGGGTGTGCTGACAAGAAATGCCAGGGCCAGACTGTCAACTGTGCCCAGCCTGGATAATTCATCCACACAGGCAGGAGGCGGCTTCTCCTGCTCCTCACCTCTGCCTGCAGCCATGTGCACTCATGCTGCTATGCTACATACTGAGCAGGGTCATGACTTCACCCACTTGGGAAGAAGGAAACTCAGCAAACTTCTGGATGAGTCCAGCGTGTTCTTCCCCTTTTGTCGCTTGGGGGAGGAAGTTAAGTTTTCCAATAGGCTACCTTGTTACTTAGGCGAGAGCATGCCTGAGCTTTCAGATGAGCATTACAGGAGAGAGGGTGGAAGAGAAAATGTTCTCTCTTCTCATTTGAGGCCTGCAAAATATTAGTAAGGTCCCATCCCAGAAGAGGAAACTGAGGCCTCGGGAACTTAAACTGAGCTAAGGTGAAGTCAGTGCTATAACCAACTACATAGGAGGCCTTATTAACTCATAAGGGAGGGTGGATACTTTCTCCCAGGGATCAGGCAAGCATTCCCCACCCCCCTACTCTGGTCCTCTTCCAATCTCCAGTCCCACTGCCTGACACAGATCTAACTCCCAACTGTCCCTTGAACATATGGTGACAAGCTTCAGCTATTTCCTGAACAATAAGCAAATGTCCACCATTTCGTGTTTTTGCTAAGATGCTTATTACCTGCAGATAACAGGTTAGCAAGTATAACATGCTTTTAACTAACTAGCAAATTCATCCTGGAATGGAAAAATAGAAACCTCGAGCGCTATCCCTCCCAGCCCTCCTCCTTCTCTCTACTGCCTAGATCAAGGGAACATAAGAAGGAGTTTACATTATTTGAGAAAAGTAAAGGAAACGCCAAGTTTTCCTGCGACACAGAAATATTTGAGTGCAGGCAGGAATTCCTTAGGAGGGATTCACCCGTGTCTGCGACAAGGTCGGGCTCACATGCGCCGCTGAGCCACCGGCGGGACCCACTGCTAGACTCTGTGCCCCGCCAAGTCGCGCCTGGCATGGGGAGAGCGCATCTACGGGTCTGGACGCTTTCTGGAAGTTAGTTCGAAGTCTGCGCCTTGCGATAGGAGGGTTTGGCGCCGCTTTTTAATGGGCTCCTGCAATTTCTAACTCTGGACCCAATGCATGACCATGGTGCTTCCGCTCTGAGAGTGCTGGGCTTGTGCACACACGTGTGAACAAACTCCCTGGGGACTCTCCCACTTTCGCGTGCCCTAGTGGTTTGGAATTCGGGCAAGAAACCCAGGGATCCGGCAGGGCTCTCGGGAGGGTGGGAACGACCCGTGCCCCTCAGCAAAAGGCCGACTGGGAGGGACGCAGGGTTCGGCGCGAGTCTCGTCCTGGATACTCACCGGGACCTCTGCAGCTGCTCCAAGGCCGGCTCCAGGGGACAGTTCTGAGAGGTCGGCCTGGGGAAGGCGATAGGCAGGATTCCCTGAGTGAACGAGTTGAGGCGGCCCCGACTGCCAATCCCACTCCCGGGGGTCCCGGAGCCCAGGAAGGTGGCTGCCGGCACCTGCACGCTGGTAAAGGCATCGTCCTCCTCCAACTCCTCTTGCCCGTCGGGCAGCTGCAGCTGAGCGCAGGCGGCGAGAGGCGCTGGCCGGAGCGGCTGCAACTGTTCCCCCGACGCCCGGCCCGCGCCCAGGGGGCTCGCAAGTCCCCGGGCCGCCCCGAGGCCAGGCACTGCCGCGTGGCCGCCCGGTGCCAAGGGCTGCAGCGGTGAGGGCTGAGGGAGGTAGGGACCCGATCCAGCTGCCAACGCCGCCGTGCCCGCCGCGGCGAGCGCGTTGCAGCCGCCCCGCTCGGCAGCCGCGAGCAGGCTGAGCCGAGTCCTCGCGCCGCAGGCGCTGCCCGCTCCGGGCTTGGCCGCGCCGCTCTCCTCGCCGCTGCCCCACTCCTCGTCCTGAAGCTGGGGCCGACCGTCCAGCGAGATGTTGGTGAGGAAAGAGAGAGCAGCCTGGCGGCGCCGCGGGTCCATGCGCGGCTTCCTGGGGGGCTCCGGCGGCGGCGGCTGGGCCGGCGCGGCGGCTGCGGGCTGGGGCTGCTGCGGTGGCTGCTGCAATCCGCTGGTGCCCGCGGCGTCGGTGCCGCCACCGCTGCTGCTGCTGCTGCTGCAGGCGGCCGTGCAGGGGGTGGCGGCAGCAGCCGCCATTGTGTCCGTCTGCGGCGATATTTCCGCGATGCCCGGACAAGCGAGCGGCGCACGAGTGTTAAGCCGCGGGCGCGAGCGCCGGTGACCCGGGCTGGGCAGGGCGCGGGACGCGGGCGGCGTGCTCGGCGGACCGGCCCCCCCGCAGGCGGGCCATGCTCGCCCCTCGGTGATCGGGCGGGGGACGCCGCCGCCCCGGCCCACGCGCGCGGCTCACTCGCTCGCTCGCTGGCTGGCTGGCCGGCCGCCTGGTCCTCGGGTCCCCGGCGTTCCCTGCCCCCGCGGTCTCCGGCTGCTGGCCCGGGTGTCCGTATTTATAGGTGCGCGCGCCCCACGCTCGCGCTCCGGAGCGCTCTTCGCAATAACACAGTATCACGTGTGGGGAATGAAACCTGGGAGCAAAACAAAGCCGCAGGCGGCGGCCGCAGAGACTGGCGGCGGGAGGCGAAGGGCCGGAGGAGGAGGAAGAGAAAGTCGAGCGGATGGCGGGTGGCGGGTGTGGGGTGGCAGGCGGGGGACCCGCCAGGCGGTCTTGATTGTTCGAGCTTTCTGGGGAGAACTGGTGTTTCCCGGGGCTCATCGGAGCCAGGGACGGGAGGCGAGCACGTTTTCTGGGCGCGCTCACACTGGGAGATGGGGGTGCGAGTAGAACCCCCTGAGCCATGGCACGGCGTGAGGATGTGGTCCCGGGAGAGTAGTGGGAGAGTTGTGGGTCTACAGGACAGTTATTTGGAGCAACGCCTAGATTTGGCCCTTGAGCTTTTTAACTGGATTCTGCGCTGCCGTTGGGCCCCAAGAATGACTTTATTAACAGTTACATGGGTAGGTCAACAGCCCTTTACACTAAGTATCCAACCTTAAACCCGTCGCTAACCATTGAGGTGTGTCTCATTCATTCTCAGGCGGAGGATGCAGCCCCTGAGATAAATACATGCCCCGAGGTGCTTAAGAGTCCAGGTGTGTGGACATCTTTAGTGTGGCTAATGTACACATCTCCATTTGATGGGGCTGTCACTTTTCATCTCTTTCTTAGCAAAGGCCAACATGTATTTTTACTTTGGCCCTGAAATGTGCTTGGTTTTCTGTGAAGACAGAGGTAGACTAAGATGGCCTCTCATCCCTTTCCCCTTGTTACAATGCAAATTTTTGTGGATTATTATCTCTTTTCCTCTTATATAAATTGGGACCAATATATACTTTCTGTCATTCATTTGATAACATTCTTTTGGCACTTCTGTCTTCTGTAAGTATGGATTTCTGCCCAGAGCTGCTGCTCTGAATCTGGGAAGAATCGCTGAATGCAATACCCCAGCCCCACCCCAAACAAGTGCCTGCCCCTGCCCTGGATGGGGGTTAGGGGGGCTACCTGAAAACGTGTGCCGATTTCCCTATGCGGTTTGGGTGACTTCCCAAATGCAATAAGGAACCATTATCACACTGAGTTAAGCTCTGCGACATCTAAGAAACCTCTCTACACGTTTCTGAGGGAGAAGCAGTGTGTTTAAGATCAACGGATTAATTTAATTAAAGGTTTAAATTTAGCCCTGAGGCTAATGGATAAGTCTACATTGAAATTCCACTCCATTTCAAGTTCAGGAGAGTAAATTGAGTAATGGAGAGCAAATACACCCTGTCCAGAGATGCAGCCAACCTGGAGGATGAGATATGGGGAAGTTTCTGGTTACATTTGCTCAGGACAAACATGGCACATGGCCCTTTCCATGAACAATTGTTCATATTTTATTTTATGCCATTTTTAGGCTTTTTGAAAAAGTGAAGCCTGGTGTCTATTTATAGTAGCCTTACAGCAGCTAAGTTAAAGCTTAATGACCAGCTCTGTGAAATTTCATTAGGATTTTAATTATTTTGTTTAACTACTTAGAAACTCCCAAGCTGCCTTATTACAATTAACTTATTTTCCATGACCACTGACCTGGTTGTGCTGGCAAGCAGTGTTCAGTGAAAGACACCAACTTGGCACATGTAAAAGAAAACACTATTTTTTTTTTTATTATGAAAGTGATAAATGTTAATTGCGGAATATTTAGAGAATAAGATAAGCAAAGAGAAGTAGAAGAAAAGCATCACCAACAATCTCCTGTCCTATGGAAACTGTTAAAATTTTTTATTTTTGTCCTTTTTTTTTAACAAAAGCAAAAGCAAGCTTTTTGTGTCTTGTGATTTTTTGCTTGCTGTGTTGTGATCATCTTTCTATTTAGAATATTCTTCTATAGCATAATTTGAATGACTGCATGCTGTTCTCTTTGTCAGAGAGACAATAGTTATTAAACCTGTACCACATGTTAAAAATTTAGGTTGTTTCCACTTTTGCTGTTATAGAGAATGGTGATGACATCCTTTGTTTTTGTTTTTCTTAATCTTGCTACCATTCAATATTACTTTTTTAGGTTCAACAGATTCTGGGGCAAACGGCACATCATGTTTTTAAGGCTTTCCTTCTAGAAAAGTTCCAATCTGATTTCTCACCCTCTTGCCAGCATTGGGTATTAAAATTTTTTCAGAAATATTTATTTGATACAACTCTTTGCCTATTTTAAATACCAAATGTGCAAACTAATTTAAAATATTTATTAAAGTATCAAACAAGAATCAATATCTACTTTACCTCCAAATTGCTCATGTGATCCTTTTATGGGGATATGACAGATGAGTTACTGTTCACCTACTGTATGCCAGCCACAGAACATTTTTAATCCTATACCCACCCTAGGGATGGGGTGCATTACCATCAATATTTTACAGATGAGACTCAGAAAAATTAAATAATTTTCCCAAGGTAACCTAGCTCTTAAATCAGGTCAGTATGCAAACTTATTCCAAAACCCATACATGTTCTAACGCCCTCTGCTGGTGAGGATGTTTTATAGGAGGAGGCCAACTCCATATTTAATCTTATATTTGTATTTCAGTGTCAACTATAATGGAAAGAATAGAAACTTTGCAGCAAGAGGATCTGGGTGTCCTGAGCAAGTCTCCCAACCTCTCCACACCAGTTTCCTCTGTGGGTTATTCCGAGGTACAAATGAGACTGAACAAAAAGCATTTTATACATCTTAAAATACTTTTTAAAAATGTCTGTTGTTATTTAGACCATCCTAATCTACTTCCTGAATTATTCCAAATTTACTTATTTTTCACCTATTTATTTACTGATCGAATATTGAGCAACTTCAATAGGCACAGTGCCACCTTGCTACAAAAGGGATAAAAAGAAGTGCGGCCTTTAGCCTTTGTGCCCTTGACAGTGAAAATAGTGGAAAACAAGCTCAGGTCAGTTAAACCACGATGTAAGGCAGACCTGGCCGGTTTGGCTCAGCGGCAGAGCATAAGCCCGTGGACCAATGAGTCGTGGGTTCGATTTCAGTCAAGGGCATGTACCTTGGTTGTGGTTTGTCCCCAGCCCTGATCGGGTCGTGCAGGGAGGCAGCTAGTCGAAGTGTCCCTCTCACATGGATGTTTCTCTCTCTCCCTTTCTCTTCCTCTCTTTTCCTCCCACTCTATCTGAAGATAAATAGAAAAATATCCTCGAGTGAGGATTAAGAAAAAAAAAATAAGGCAGACTCGGATTAAGTGAGCAGTCTACTTGAGACTATAAATGAAATCAAGTGAAAAAAGGGAGCTCTTTATTTGAGTTAAGGCCTGAGGGGAAGGCCTTAGGCAAGAGCCAGATATAAGCTGACCTGGGAGATAAAGAAGAGAAGGAGGGGACCACTTCAGGAGAGGACATTCTGCAAACAAATAGAGGACTAGAACTTAAAAGTAATTCCTCTTGATCAGCCAAGGTTTTGTCTTTTCCATTTACTTTCATATTTCCCCTTCTAAGCACCCATTCTGAAAACTTTTTTTGCATGCATGACTGTATTGATTGACACATACAAGGGTTAATTTTAAAAAGAAAGAAAGAAAAAGAACCTGTAAATAATGGCTGACCCTTAAAATAAAAAAAAAAAAATAGCAGACCATGAAGACAATTAGCTTAGGTATGACAGTGGATACTACTCATAACAGAAACCATCTGAAATAGCGGAAAACCAGAGGTTCTGATGCCAGCTTAGATTCTTACAAGGTTGTGAGCTCTGAGGGCTCCAGGTTGGCCCCCGCTGCGCACACAGACTTCCAGATGAAAGTTCCACTAGGCTCTGCACAAATGGGCCTAGACGGCTCTGTTTCTCCAGTATAAAAAGCATTATTTTATAGTGTTTTCATTTGTTCAGGTCATTCTCACTTCAGAATGGATGGATGTAGCCACATTCTGGGGTCACATCACCACTTTGCCTGCCACTGGGAAGTTCAGATGGACTAGTGGGTGGTCCGTGGTAGCCTTCACTGATGCATGAAGAGACAGCTCACAGAAAGGGAAATGCAAGTGCCTAGCAATTGCTTGAAAGAAGGAGAAATAAGAGGGATGGACATTCTTATACTGCTGAAGGAGCATAGATTGAAACAACCTTTCTGGAAAGTCATTTGGCAATAGTATCAAGAACCTTAAAATTCACCATTGAGAGCATGAGCTTTGGAGTCAGCCTGGCCAGGTTACATTTTGGCCTCACTATCATGGCTTTGAGTGCATTGAGCATGTTACTGTACTTATTTGTGCTTCAGTTTTGTCATCTGTGAAATAGGAGTAAAAATGTCTACCTTATAGCATTGCTATGAGAATTCAGTGCAGTAACAGTGCAGTAAATGCTTAATACATGGTAAGCACTCAAGAATATAATTACTGTAATAGTCCTAAAGGGCTATTGAGGAACATCGCCAAAGATTTATGCACAAAAATATTCATTGCAGCATTGTTTAAAATAAAGAAAATTTGAGCCTGACCAGTGTGGCTCAGGTGGTTGAGCATCGTCCCATGCACCAAGAGGTCTTGGTTTGATTCTGGATCAGGGCACATGCCCAGGTTTTGGGCTTAATCCCCAGTAGGGGGCGTGCAGGAGGCAGCTGATCAATGTTTCTCTCTAATCGATGTTTCTTTTTCTCTC